GGAATCATGTTGATTAACAATAAGAAACTCTACACCATCACTTCATGTAAAATAACAGGAAACATTTGCATGTACTATGCCTTCATACTATAGCTGTATTATATTCCTGGGTGAAAAAAAGTAATTATAATAACACTCCTTGTTTGCTATCTCCCAGGTGCTATTTTAAATACTTTGTATGTTTTAACTCAGTTTTCTCAACAACTCTATAAACTATGTACCATCATACACGAAGACACAAGAGGCTTCTGTAACTTGCTCAGTTATAGAGAGATAGAGGTTGAAACAAGGATTTGAACCCAAATCCTGGGGCCACATCCTTTATCACCGTCCCATGGGCCATGCCTTGTTAGTTTTTAGAACCAGTGATACATTTACCTTTGCTTTGTTGCACAGAACTATCACAGGTGACTCTTGATCAACACAGTGAAAAACAAGATTGGGTGCAATCATTTTGTAGCATAAAGGGCTATATCGTAGTGTCATGGTCTCCAAGATTCTTATTTTATTACAATCTATAACAAAAATAAATTGTTGTCACAACCCAGTAGATATTCTTGCAAAACACACTATATTAAACCAAAGTACCATGTTTAGTCTGTGTTAAAAAGCATTTAGCCTGTGTTATTCAGATGATTTTATTTCTCTTTAAAAATTATTTCCACAATCAACCAAAGTGCGTCACAATTCACTAATGAGCCATTTCACAATTTGACAAATGCTCCATTAGAGAATATTCTGGGCCCCATCCATCCCCCAATTTTAGAGTCAAATTCATCTCATGACAGCTTTCCTGAGACAGCTTTAACTATCTAAGTGACTGCTTGAACTTAACTGTCATCCTATGCTGTAGTCAGAATTTTCAAGGGATTAGATTTAATATAGGACTCACAATTTTATACGATTATTTTATAATAGTCACCTAAAGAGTCAAATGCAGAAGAGTGCAGGAGATCTGCTTACACACTAGCAATCCAAAGAATGCAGCTTAGGGCCTGCATCCCACAGCCAGGTCTGAACCAGTCCAGCGGAATGCCTAGACTCTATGGCCGAGTCCGCCGTAAATCCAGCTGGCGGCCTAGAACCTCCAATCTCTCATGCAAGTCTACCCAGCATCTGTGCTAGGAAGGCCCAAAGTCCAATGGTGGAAGCTAGAAAGGCTCCCAGCAAGGTGAAGGGTCTGTCCCAGCAGGCTGACACAGGAAGCAGTGCTCAGGGCAAGGCCCTGAGCTTCCCTGAAGAGAGCCAGAGCCATCCTCAGCAATAGTGAGGACGAGAGATCCTGTGATGAGGAGAACAGCTGAGTTCATATCAGAAAAACCAGTGTGATGACAAGCTTCTCCAGGAGAGTCAACAGCACACCAGCTTCCCCTCCAGTTCTGCTTTCATGCTGTTGGCAGCAATCCTCAGGTGGGCCTTCCACATCCAGAACCACATGGCTTCAGTTCATCTGGGTACTACAAGTGGACCATGAGTTACTCTACTACACCTTGCTTATTTATAAAAGTAGAGCCTGCAAAATATATGTGAGACCCACCCAAAAGCTTGTGTTTCACTTTGATTTTCTTTTTACTTTAGTTCACTTACTGATTTATGGGTTTTTGCTCAATTTGTAGAATCTCTGTTTTTGGTAGTATGCAGATACAAAAGGTAAGAAAAAGCAGACATGCATCTTTATGACATACTGGGAAGAGAGAAATTAGTCTGAATGCATAGCAAAAGGTCTTTCCAAATTATGTTAAATACTGTGAATAAAATGTAATGCTGAACATAACAGCAGGACCTGATTAATGTAGTGTTATTTGCAGACATAAATCACTTGAAAACTTGAAAAGTGAGCAGAAGTTAGCCAGGCAGTGGGCAGTGCTGTGAGGTCAGGCATAGGTCAGACCCATCCCAGGCTTCTGAGGTGAACTGCTAGTTGGAGAAGAAGAAAGGAAATCATGATAAGGGTAGAAAGATAAATAGGGCCAGACAAAATAAATTGCTTTAGATCAAGGAAAAGAGATGCAGAGGTTTTGGAACTAGATAATGTTATAAAGCTCAGGTTAAATAAATAACTACAGCTGAATGCAGAGTTGATTAGGAGTTCAAGATGAGATATGAGAGAGAAGGGAAGGAAGAAGGAAGGGAGGGAGGGAGGCAGAGATGTAGGGAAGGAGGGAGGGAGAGAGGGAGGGAAGAAGGGAAGGAGAGAGGGAGAGAGAAAGGGAGAAAGAGAGAGAAAAGAGAGGAAGAGCGAGCACAAGCAGGCAGTATATGCTGTTGCAACAGATTGCTGGTGTCCTTTGTTAGTCATCTTCCTTACCGAATGCCCTTCGCAATACATTGCGCAGGAGCTGTGAACAGACTTGTTAATTTTAGAGCTATCAACTAAGAAATGAGCCATGATGTGGCATTCAAAAGAAAAGTTATGGAAATACAACTCTTAGCTCATGTGATAAATTGTTGAGGCACAAGGAAGTTGCTCTTTTGTTTTAAAAAGTCAGATTCTTATGAGGCTTAATATGCTAGACAGCACCGAATTGTATTATACTTACATATTTTTATTGAGTATAGTCCTAGCAGAGAAGTTTCTTATTTCCTCTCCCAAATGTTAAGAATCTGAGATGGAGATGTAGATCTGATACACTAAGGGAGAATAACTTTTAACAATTAAACTTGCCTCTACGGTTACAAAAATTTGTATTTATACTGACCAAGGAAATATCATTTCTTATTTCCACTTCTTTCTTTGATTAATAACCCCCTGTGCCTATTGGAACACTGTTGTTTACTTGTCTCAGCTCACATCTTTATCACTTTGATTTTTGAATACAAATAGTTCAACCCCAGTCTCAGTAAAATGTGTGCTCATTCAGGCAGTGTTGAATGCAAACACTATCCCCCTTGGAGTTTAGTAACAGGAGAGGAGACCGTTGGTCTCCCTCACACCTGAGAGCTCATGATGCTCAACCGCAGAGAAGAAATCAGATATCCTGGGCGGGCTGACCCAGTCTGAGAAGCTCATTTCTGCTGCTGCCTTGTTATGCTATAGGGACCACTCCTGTTTCTTTTTCCTCTTCTAGTACTAAGCCCATATTCACTTTATCATGCAGACCCCATCTTTCACCTGGCCCAAAAAGGTCTAGTCACACCCTATAAAGAAACATGCTTTCTTTTATATTAGCTGAGAGCCGCCAGTGGTGGAGCAAGTTCCAGGCACGATTAGCGGTTAACTAGTCCCAGGCTGCTTACTGCAAGACCCTGATGAATTTTAATGAATATTCCTTGCAGGGGTACAGTGAGAAGGCTAGTGACTGTACCGGTACCAGCCCAACTGATGGCAGAGAGAGCCAGGCAGCCACTGGATGGAGATAAAAGACTCTAATTTCCTAAAAGTCAATAATAGGCACACGTGTCTCACATTTTTACAAAGCACTTCCTATGTTTCTGTCTCAGCTCTGATGTCTTCTGTGTGAATCACTCTTCACTGATAAAATTTTGTTTATTGAACAAGTAGGAATGGAGACTTAGTCTTCATTAGAATGTTACTGCTTCAGATTAATGCTTCATTGAGTTTCTCACTTTGTAAATTTAATTTCCTTCCTCCTTGAACACAGTGATAAATACAGGAAAACGTACTAAGTAAGGTTATCTTATTAATATTCTGCAGTTATTCCCCAAGCATAGAATTTATCACGGGGTATTGCTGCACACTCCTGGGCACTACCCTCAAGCATTTATTTAATTCAAGTAAATGTGATCTTGGCAGCCTTACGTGGAAAGAACTTTACTGTCACTAGAAATCATGCCTCAGCTTTGAGCAAGATGAAGTAAATCATTGCAGCAGGAATGCATTTTTCTAGGATGTTCCTGACCCACCGCAGAGGCCACTTCTGTCCACTGTGCTCATTTCTGCCACCAGTCCCTCAGCCCCATGCTCCTTCTGCTAAGAAGCCTGTGTCTGATCCCAGATCCTCCTTACATCCCCCAGTGCCACCAGGGTCCTCGGACTCGTAAGTGAGCTCCAGTTTAGCGTTCTGCCTCAGCCTTTTCCCCCAGATTCAAGCTTCCTCGTCACTCCCAAGGTTCCAGGAAATACAATTTCCTTTTCCACTTAGAGGAGGTTCTCTTAAATATCTGTGCTTGAGTACATTCTATTCTTTGCTTTTAGTTGTCACTTTTACTCCTGGAGAACATGTTGTCTGTACCGTGTGCTGGGTTTTGACCTTGTACGTGTTGCTCAGACCATTCTGTGCCTCCATTACCTCCTGTATGATGCATTCCAGAAGCAAATTGGGGGACGGTTTACAGAATGCTTCAGGGCCTGCCCCTCCAAAGCCTCTCAGCAGAAATAGCGGGAGATGTTCGCTTTAGTTCCTAGTTACTGGTTTTCACTACCATCCTTTAAAATTGAGCAGAGGTTTCACCTTTAGTGAGATGCTTGCCCAAACACTGAGTGAATTATTTCCTTGTACTTACGCTTAAGATATGAACAACAAATGCATACATGGGGCTTATTTCCTCAGCTTTGTGATGAGCTGTCAGGAGAGATGAATGCTTACCCCATGGCAAGCCTCAGGAGAAATACTGGATTTATCCCGTTTATCCTTCACTGTGATCCAGTGTGGTAGATATTCTTATTCCCATTTAGACACAAAGACACTGAGGACCCAGGTCCGAGAGCCAGTAGCAGACCATTTACTCCCAGAGAGGAAGCTCTGAGCTGTGCAGCACCCTGCCCTGGTCTGTGCAGTCTCCTTTGGGTCTGGGACCTGTTCGTGTACAGATACATGTGATGTTTGTTTCTCTTTCATTCTTTTTTCCATGTTGTGGCTCTAAGGATAAACCAGGACCTTGCACTAAGGTATATCCTTAGCACTTTTTCATTTCTTATTTGGAGGCAGAGTCTCAGTATATAGTCTAGGCTGGGTTCTAAGTTGTGCACCTCCTTCCTCAGCCTTCCAGAGTGCTGGGATGACAGGGATGCCATGTTTCCTTTTCCAATGTTATTCCAGGTATTCCTTCCAAGATGAAGAAGACATGTTCATGGTGGTGGACCTCCTGCTTGGTGGAGACCTGCGCTATCACCTGCAGCAGAACGTGCACTTCCAGGAAGACACAGTGAAGCTCTTCATCTGCGAGCTGGCCATGGCCCTTGACTACCTGCAGAGCCAGTGCATCATCCACAGGTCAGTGAGGTCCAAGGAGATGGCCTGGACCCAAGTGGGCAGGCAAGGCAAGGCTACCTCCTGTAGCACACCCTCGCTCAACAGAACATTTAATACTCATTTAACTGTTGCAGCACTGCTCCGAGGTAGGGTAATTTCCTTCATTTGGAAGATTAAGCAAGAAATAAGACTGATTGCAGACAAATTCTTTGGGGTGAAGAAAATGTAAGTCTTCTAAAATCTTCCCAGTGAATCTTCTTTGTGAACCAGACTGGGTTAAAGAGCCCCCTGGAGAGGAGACTGGGCTGGGAGAGCACTAACCTTGTCAGTGAGTTAACCTGATTTGCAGTTAGGACTGTTAGGAGCTATGGGGACCTGGTTGGATGAGTGAGCTGCATGGTCGCATATCTGGTCCCTGGACATCTTGCTTTTGCTCTGCTGGTTCCTGGCTGCACTCTGGTTAGCAGTTTTCTTCTGTCCTGCCCTCTGTCATGGTCTTTCTGCCTTGGACATGATTTAAAATCTCTGA